TACAATGACAGACACATAAATCAATGGAATAGAATTGAGAATCCAGAAATCAGCCCATCTACCTATGGTCAACTGATTTTTGACAAGGAGATGAAACTCTGTACTATCTTATGCCATTCTCATCTCTGACATATTTGAGCCCACTGATGAAGCTCACTATATCAATCCATTTTATTAAGGGTCTTCTTGTCTTTCTCTGACTATCTTTTTAAACATGATGACCCTTTCCAAGAATAACTCCTCTTAACAACATGCCCAAAGTATATGAGATGAACTTCATCATCCTTGCCTCAAAGGAGCACTCTGACTTCACCTTTTCCAAAACATTTTTATTCTTTTGGTAGTCCATGGAATATTCAACACTCTTATCCAACACTACAGTTCAAAGGCATCAATTCTTCTGTTATCCTTAATTAGTTCCAGCTCTCAGATGCATAGCAAGTGATTGAAAAGACCATGTCTTGTATCAGGCGCATCTTAGTCTTCAAGCTGACGTTATGGACCTTCAGTATTTTGGTCCTTGACAGAAGAATTTCCCAATGCAATACATCTTTTTTATTTATTGACTACTGGTGCCGTGGGTGTTGATTGTGGATCCAAGTAAGATGCAATAATTGACAGTTTCAGTCTTTTCTCCATCTACCATGATGTTGCCTATCAGCCCAGTGGTGAGGAATTTTATCTTCTTGATGTTAAGATATAATTCATATTGAAGGCTGTACAAACTTCCACAGCAAATGTTTCAAGTCCTCCTTACTTTTAGCAAGCAAGGTTGTGTCAGCTGCATAACACAGGTTGTTGATGGGTCTTCCTCCTATTCTGATGCATTTATTCTTGATAGAGTCCAGCTTTTCTAAGGATTTTCTCAGTATACAGACTGCATAGTTTTGGAGAAGGAGACAGTCTGATACATACCTTTCTTGATTTTAAACTATACCATGTTCCTTTGCTCTGTTCAGAAAAAATAGATTCTTGGTCTGAGTATAGGTTTAAATAAGCATGATTAGATGTTCTGGGATTCCCATTCTTCCAAAAGTTAACCATAGTTTGTTATGATCCACACAATCAAATGCCTTTGCAAGGTGAATAAAACACAAATAGATATTCTTCTGCTATCCTTTGCTTTCTGTCAAGATCCATCTGACATCAGCAATGAAATTCCTGGTGCCACGCCTTTGTCTAAAACCAGCCTAAACTTCTGTCAATGTAGTGTTGTAGCAATTTTTGGGTGATCTTCAGCAATATTCTGCTTGCTCTGATATTAGATATATTCAGTTAGATTAGTTCAATAATTTCCACATTCTGTTGGATCACCTTTCTTGAGACTTTTAAAGTTTGTAGAGAACTTAGATTTCCACTTATTCATTATTGCACATTTCCCTCCCTGCCCACCCCATCCCCAGCTCTTATTCTGGACTGTTGTCATGCAAATAATACTTTTAAGCTATTCTTTCCCTCATATGTTTCAATGCAGTGTACATTATTTATCCCCTCTTTGCTTAGTTCCCCCCAACCCTGATGTCAGTTCTGTTTTAAAACAGTGCCATTATGCAGTATTTGTCCTTTTGTGATGGAGATATTTCACTCAGCATAATGTCCTCCAGGGTCATCCATTTTGTATATTTCTTGAGTTCCTTCTTTTTTAGTGCTGCATAGTATTCCATTGTGTGACTATACCACAACTTCTCTATCCATTCATTTGTTGATAGGCGATTGGGTTGTTTCCATCTCTTTGCTATTGTGAACAATGCAGCAATAAACATGGGTGTGTGTATATCTTCCTGATGGCAGTGCTGGTTTCTTTAGGGTATATTCCCAGTAGTAGAATTGCTGGGTCAAGTGGTATTTCTATTTTCAACTTTTTGAGAAAGTGCCATACTGCCTTTCATAGTGGTTGCACCATTTTACACTCCCACTAACAGTGAATAAGGGTTCCAGTTTTTCCACAACCTCGTCAGCATTTGTTCTTTGATACTCTGTTAAATTCTGTTACTCTTACTGGGGTGAGATGCTATCTCATAGTTGTTTGGAGATAAATATCTTTTAAAAGGCATATTCCCCCCTCCCCAATCACTACAAAAGCAACAAAGCTTTCAAGCCTTAAAATTTATATCACATACATAATCTAGCCCTTTGATTTGGGCCATCTTATGTTATTCTTACTTAATGAGATTAATAATCCTCAAATTCTATTTTAATCTTTAATTCAGTAACTCATCCAACAAATATTTTAAAGAACCTACATAACATCCTAGTAGCTCAAGACAAGTGACTGTTTTCTACCTCATTTGTATCCCCAGCAATAATTACCGAAAATTGTTGAAGACATCTGTGGACATTTATTCACTCTTTCTGTCTATTCATCCTCAATTGGTTCTAAAAGGTATTTGAAGCTAAAATATTTAATAAACAAATAATAGTTTTGTTTTTAGTTGGTTTCTTATTTTTTATTCTTAATATAATTTATTTATTATATCTGATAACAGTACTTTAAGATTACAGTTTTTTCCTTTTATTTATTCACTGTTGCACATTTTCTTCCCCCCTCACCCCCCCCTCTGCCAGCTATCCACAATGCATCCCTTATTACAGATTATTCGCATACATATAATGCATAATCATATATTCCTCTCAGACAGTTCTTCTCATCTGTTCTAAGTCAGTGTTCATTATCTATCTGCTCTTTCCCCATATCCTCCTTAACCCCCCCACCATGTATCTGTTCTATTTTATAGCAGTGGGGTTATTCAGTATTTGTCCTTTTGTGACTGAAATATTTCACTTAACATAATGTGTTCAAAGCTCCCCCATGTTGTGTAATGTTTTACTATTTTTTTTAGTGCTGTGTAGTATTCCATTGTGAGGATATAGTTTTTCTATTCATTTGTTTATTGATGAACATTTCTGTCTCTTTACTATTGTGAATAACACAGCACTAAACATGGGTGTACATACATCTGTTTGAGTTATGGCTCTGATTTCTAAAGAGTACATTCCCAGTAATGGAATTCCTGGGTCAAATGATATTTCTATTTCCAACTTTTTGAGAAAGCACCAGACCACTCTCCATAGTAGTTGTACCATTTCACATTCCCACCAGCAGTGAATAATTAGTGGTTTTACTATTTCACATTCCCACCAGCAGTGCATAAGAGTTCCAATCTCTCCACAACCTCACCAGCATTTGTTGTTTGCTGCTCTGTTGAACTTCTCTATTATTACTGGGGTTAGATGATATCTTATCGTTGTTAATAAACAATTGGACTTATTGGTTTTATGGTTTTAAATGTTTGATGAAAAATGGAATGATACCTTTTTACCCTCCTGTACATATAGAATACCTTCCTCATTTCCTGCTTCTACTTCCCAGTGTAAACCTGCTCTTCTCAGGTGGATGTAAAGGACTTGGATGGATCACAGACACCATGAAGAGTATGAAAACCAAAAGGTTGGCAGGGAACTCTCTGGGCATGGAGAAGAGTTGAAACAAATTTTCACTGATACAAGGTGAAGAAAAAGATGCTTTCATCCTACTACATCAATAGACTTCTGCATAACTGTAGCTAAACAATTTTAATTTCCCAACAGGTTCATTAAAACTAGATTTGAACTTCATATAGGTAAGTTATTAAGCACCTTAATGGTCATTTCTTACAATTTATTACTTACTGGCTTGGGATGTTTTTGAGATATGGGTTTCACTATGATGTCATCACTATCTGTAGTTTGCGTTTCACTGACTTCAGAAGCTTGTTCATCATCTTCTTTCTCTGTCAGAGAAAATACGGGAGTTATGGAACAATTTCAGAGTACCCTGTCCATCCCAAGAAAAGTCCCAGGACGCACATGGCCAACCCATTGTCTGGCTACTACCTCTGAGTATCTAGATTTGAGCTCTATTTCTTTTTCAGAGTTTTGATTATTTAGAAGTTTCTAAGATACAAGATTTCATATCTGAACATGCAAATTTCAGACAGCAGCTTAATGCATAAGTTTAAATTGACTCAGTGACAACTAGTTTAAAAAAACACCAAAAGAAACTAAAACTGAACCTTCTGATAGACAGTTGTGTTGCTGCTATTTTGAGCAACACAGCAAATATCAGGTACAGTACATAGGAGCACATGTTTCTGGACTATAATCCACATGGTCAAGATATTAAATCTGTTTTGTTTAGTTTTTATTTTGCTGGGCTTTGTTTACTAATATTTTTGTTAAGGATATTGCATATATGTTTATGATAGATACTGGCCTACTGTTTCGGTGTGTGTTTTTTTAATGTCTCCAGCTTGCTTTAGTATTGCTGTTGTTGTTAGGTGCCATCATGTCAAGTACAACTTTTAGTGATTGCGTGAACAACAGATCTGAATCCTGTCCTAACATGTGCTATCTTCATCAGTTCTTGATACGCTTGAGCCCATTGCTGCAGTTACCATGTCAATCCATCTTGTTGAAAGTCTTCCTCTCTTTTGTTGATCCTCTATTTTTCCAAGCATGATATTGCTTTCCAAGGAATAGCCTCTCCTAGGAACATGTCCAAAGTATGAGAGACAAAGATTTACCATCCCTGCCTCCAAGGAGGACTCTGACATACTTGTTCATTCTTTTTTTTT